CAGAATTCACTTAGTGAATGTCTCGCTTGGCAACAGAAATGTTGGGCTCCATTGTGGTCGTAAGTCGAGGACTACCCATGCTTAGTTTACGCAGCCCAACTCTCTTTCCCCGGCATTTAACGCTGTGCTTAGCGTCTCCGCACCAAGTTTCCAGCACTACAATACAGATGTGGCTTGTTTCAGAGTGCAAAACTCAGTCCAGCTATTTTATTGACTCTATGAGTAGCCAGTTTTTAAAATATTACAATACAAGGTTAAGTTTGAAAACAGCCGAGAAGGGAAAAGGGGGGCAAGGAAGTAAGGAACAAAAAAAAAGAGACCTTGTAGCAATTTTTTTTAAAAATTTATTTATTTATTTACTTTTTGCCAGTTTGGTCTTGTGCTTGAAGCATTAGGCTAGAAGCCGGGAGACTGTGAGTTCTAGTCCTGCCTTGGGCATGAAGCCAGCTGGATGACTTTTAAGCCAGTCACTCTCTCTCAGCCCTGGGAAGGAGGCAATGGCAAACCACTTCTGAAAGTCCTTGGCAAGGAAACTGCGGGGGCTTGGTCCAGCCAGGCATTTGGAGTCAAAAGGCACAAAACAAACAGATATTTTTCCCCGCAGCTCATATGTAGACAAGAGTCTCCAAAGCACCTTTGAGAGCAAGGCAAAACGTAACCGGTGGAAGCGTAACAAAGAGAGAAGCAACCTGGAACTAAGGAGAAAGTTCCTGACAATAAGAACAGTTGATCCGTGGAACGGCTTGGCTTCAGAAGTTGTGGGTGCTCCATCCCTGGAGGTTTCCAAGAAGAGAATTGGACAGTCATTTGTTCAGAATAGTGTAGAACAGGGGTAGTCAACCTTGGCTCTTTTATGACTCGTGGACTTCAATTCCCAGAATTCCTGAGCCAGCTTAGCTGGCTCAGGAATTCTGGGAGTTGAAGTCCACGAGTCATAAAAGAGCCAAGGTTGACTACCCCTGGTGTAGAATCTCCTGTTTGGGCAGAGGATTTGACCTCCAAGATCCCTTCTCGTCCCAATACAATACATTTTGCCTGACTCTCCTTTGATGGTAGCCTTGCCTGGGAAAACGTGTGGATATAAGCGGGAAGCTTCATACTAGGCCCAGAAATACAAGTCTCCAGACACCTAACCTATCTTCAGAAACCAGCTTCTCGCCAGAATACTCCCAGATATAACAAGATTAGTTTCTGTATTGCAAGAATAGAGCAACACACACAAAAAGATTTGCCACTCTAGCACAGACAGCAATCAAAGCCTATATATATGATCCGTGTGCCAGAATTAAAATTCTAGGCTTTTTTTTTTTCCTTCCACATTTCCACATCAACAGTTAAGTGACCAAGGCTGTGGGTGGAAGACAGCTACATTATGACATATATTGTGATTTTCTTGAGCCTGGGAACTGCAAGTTCCTGTCTCGCCAGCTTCATTTCTATCCCTAACCCTGCAATTGTGAGAACTTGTTACCCATCTGACGTATGACTGCTGGCTGTTGTTAACAGTCAACTTCCTGGTGTTATTTCTCCCTGCAGTCTGGTCCCTAGAAATAGCCATCAATTCTTGCTTATTCATTCTCCTATGTCAGAGCCCTGCATTTAGGAACTTGAGTTCAGAACATAACTTAAGTGCACTATAACTTAGGAGTCTCGGAGTTTAGAAGCCGTTTGATTTTTTTTCCCCTACTCTGTTAGTGACAGGAAGGTGGCTATATTTTACATCTTGAACTACACCTAGGTGTGGTAAGGAGGTGTTGAATACTCTTGAGCCTCGTAGTTCTGGGACATCGGCTCCACCTAGCCAACCAAGTAGCTGCAGAAAAGGGTTGGGGAGGGATTTTTATAGGAAAAAAAATTTGGACTAGAAGACCTCCGAGGTCCCTGACAGCCTCATGATTCTCTGAACTTCTATGACCTGCTATCTCATCTACTACTTTATCCATTCAGCATAGTTAATATAATAGTTGGCATTTGCAAACTGAGTACCAGTTGGTCTTTAATCTAATACAGGTAGTCCTCAACTTACAACAGTTGAGCCCAAAATTTCAGTAACTAAGCGAGACATTTGTTAAGTGACTTTTGCCCCATTTTGCGACTTTTCTTACCACTGTTGCAGTTGTCAAATTAGTAACACAATTGTGAACCTGGCTTCCACATTGATTTTTGCTTGTCACAAAAGGGGATCACGTGGGCCCAGGACACCATAATTGTCACAAATACTTTCCAGTGGCCAAGCATCCAAATTTTGATGGTGTGACCGTGGGGATGCTGAAGCGGTCGTAAGTGTGAAAAACAGTCACACGTCCCTTTTTTTAGTGCCATTGTAACTTTGAACGGTCATTAAAGAAACCGTTGTAAGTCAAGGACTGCCTGTAGGAAGCTGCTTTGATGAGTTTTCTGAACCAGTTTTGGAAAAGGCATGCCTTTTCTAGAGCAGTTGAGGAAAAAGCCAAGTGTTCATATCTTAACGTTATTCTAAGGAAGAATCTTACATATATGTTAGCATGATCAAACTGTCGATGCTTTGGGTTTACTTTTGATCCAGAGGATCTGTCCTATTTTCATTCCCCCCTATCTAGGCACATGCACATGTAACTTCTTTGAATCCCCCTCCAGGCAGGGAAAAAGTACCTGATTAAAAATAAAAACAACTGGGGCTTTCCTTAAAAAAAACAAAAACGGAAAAGCACCATTAGCCCAAAGTTATTTGTACCAGTTGCATTTGAAGCTCTCAGCAATGCCTCTACAGTAAACTCACAAAAAAAATCTTCTCTTCCTTTCGTGCTCCATAAGGCAGTGTGTCTGGGGGTCCAGCATTTGAATGTGTCTCTCTAACAGCTGGCTTAGTCAAGAGTGTAGTTTGCCACCAGAGCTCAGGGGGGGAATTAAAAAAACAAAAACAAAACCACCACCCTTTCCTAAATGTCTGGATCCACTGATTTCTCCTGGCTCCTTGAAATAAAGTTAACCTTGTGGTTGTGTTTGTAAGTGTGCTGTAATCCTGTGACCAGCTGCTTCTCCCGAGCCTTGAATTCAGCGGCTTCAGCCTATGTATCACAGGCTGAAGGTCATCACTTTTGACAGGAGAAGTGGAGCAGATAACGTTTGCAAGTGAAGCTTTAGATTTGAGCTTCTATGGCAGGGGTCTTCAAACTTGGCCCTTTGATGACTTGTGGACTTCAACTCCCAGAATTCCTCAGCCAGGAATTGTGGAAGTTGAAGTCCACAAGTCATCAAAGGGCCAAGTTTGAAGACCCCTGTTCTATGAGGGCCACAAGAGGCTTTAAATCAGTGTTTCTCAACCTTGACAATTTTAAGGCATGTGGACTTCAACTCCCANGACAGCCTCATGATTCTCTGAACTTCTATGACCTGCTATCTCATCTACTACTTTATCCATTCAGCATAGTTAATATAATAGTTGGCATTTGCAAACTGAGTACCAGTTGGTCTTTAATCTAATACAGGTAGTCCTCAACTTACAACAGTTGAGCCCAAAATTTCAGTAACTAAGCGAGACATTTGTTAAGTGACTTTTGTCCCATTTTGCGACTTTTCTTACCACTGTTGCAGTTGTCAAATTAGTAACACAATTGTGAACCTGGCTTCCACATTGATTTTTGCTTGTCACAAAAGGGGATCACGTGGGCCCAGGACACCATAATTGTCACAAATACTTTCCAGTGGCCAAGCATCCAAATTTTGATCGTGTGACCGTGGGGATGCTGAAGCGGTCGTAAGTGTGAAAAACAGTCACACGTCCCTTTTTTTAGTGCCATTGTAACTTTGAACGGTCATTAAAGAAACCGTTGTAAGTCAAGGACTGCCTGTAGGAAGCTGCTTTGATGAGTTTTCTGAACCAGTTTTGGAAAAGGCATGCCTTTTCTAGAGCAGTTGAGGAAAAAGCCGAGTGTTCATATCTTAATGTTATTGTAAGGAAGAATCTTACATATACGTTAGCATGATCAAACTGTCGATGCTTTGGGTTTACTTTTGATCCAGAGGATCTGTCCTATTTTCATTCCCCTCTATCTAGGCACATGCACATGTAACTTCTTTGAATCCCCCTCCAGGCAGGGAAAAAGTACCTGATTAAAAATAAAAACAACTGGGGCTTTCCTTAAAAAAAACAAAAACGGAAAAGCACCATTAGCCCAAAGTTATTTGTGCCAGTTGCATTTGAATCTCTCAGCAATGCCTCTACAGTAAACGCACAAAAAAATCTTCTCTTCCTTTCGTGCTTCATATAGCAGTGTGTCTGGGGGTCCAGCATTTGAGTGTGTGTCTCTCTAACAGCTGGCTTAGTCAAGAGTGTAGTTTGCCACCAGAGCTCAGGGGGGGAATTAAAAAAACAAAAACAAAACCACCACCCTTTCCTAAATGTCTGGATCCACTGATTTCTCCTGGCTCCTTGAAATAAAGTTAACCTTGTGGTTGTGTTTGTAAGTGTGCTCTAATCCTGTGACCAGCTGCTTCTCCCGAGCCTTGAATTCAGCGGCTTCAGCCTATGTATCACAGGCTGAAGGTCATCATTTTTGACAGGAGCAGATAACATTTGCAAGTGAAGCTTTAGATTTGAGCTTCTATGGCCAGGGGTCTTCAAACTTGGCCCTTTGATGATTTGTGGACTTCAACTCCCAGAATTCCTCAGCCAGGAATTGTAGAAGTTGAAGTCCACAAGTCATCAAAGGGCCAAGTTTGAAGACCCCTGTTCTATGAGGGCCACAAGAGGCTTTAAATGGTTCCATTCCTCTCCCAAAACTCTCTGAAAGAGAAACAGATGTGCTTATCCCGAACTCTCCCTTTCAAAGAGGCTAAACTGAAGTGGTTTTAAAGAAAAATTTTAAAAAAAAAAAACCTTACAAGGAAGGGAAAAGAAACCCGGTCCAATAATAATCACGCGAAATTGGGAATTTTATATTTCTAACCATCTTTTGTTTTCTTTTCTTATTATTATTATTTTTCTTGAATGTATTAATAAAACTGCCGGTTTCTTTCAGGTGGGTGTACATGGCATTAGAATAGAATTCATCAACGAAAAAGGATCAAAACGCACGGCCACCTACTTACCCGAGGTTGCAAAGGAGCAAGGTCATTGTTGGGTTTTATCTCATATGATCTGGTGAAGAATTTAAACATGCCTAGGAACTTATAATGCAGTATTTGACCTTGCCCTGATGTCAGATGATGGAGCAGTCCTTTAATTGTAAGGGATGACTCTTCTTTTAAATGCCACTTACACACTTGTAGAAAGCAGGACCCCCAGATTGCAGGGATCCAGACATACTAGCAAAGCAGCCATGGGGCCAAACAGTGGTGAGAGACAGTGGGAAAAAAATAATCCACCCAGATAGAAAACTCCAGACACCAGCCATGCAGGAAGCTCTTTTAAAAGGGCACGGCCACCATTTTTGAAAGCATTTTATTTATTTATTTATTTAAAAAATCCTCTTACCCATCTGCTCCAGGACACTGTTCTGACTCAAAATTGTTTTTTCAAGAGGCGACTGGACTTCGTTGTTCTTTGAAGACGTTTTGCTTCTCATCCAGGAAGCTTCTTCATTTCTGACTGAGCAGTGGGAGGGAATAGAAGGATGTATATTCCTTGCAGTCATCTGATCATTAACACTCTCTCTGACAGTTGTTGAGACCACTTGGGGTTTATCTATGCCACCGGTCGGCAACCTGCAGCTCTGGAGCCGCATGTGGCTCTTTGAGCCTTCCCCTGTGGCTCCCACAGTGTTCTCCGACGAGCTGTAAAGCTTATTGGGTGGGGCTCCTCCCTTTGCTGCGTCTCTGCAGGAAACAGGAAGGACAGGAGAGAGCTAGCTAGCCCAGCTATGCTGACTCAGGAATTCTGGGAATTGAAGTCCATGAGTCATAAAAGAGCCAAGGTTGCCTACCCCTGAGCTTGTTGGAGAACAGCTTGAAGCCAGCTTGCCAGGTGAGCAGAAGATTGGAGAGAGGGGGAGAGAGAGGGAGAGAAAGAGAGAGAGAGATGGTAGACCGGGTGCCTCACCCAACAGATAAGATATATATCCTCCCTGGTTTCTGCTGACAGGAGTAAGGGGGAACCTGTGGCTCGAAAGGGTAATACAGCTGCCTAACATGCAAGCTGCCCAGGTTCGAATCCCTGAAGGGTGTGACTAGCTGATGAGGGCTAATGAGCCTGAAATAGCTATACTAGTCTCCCACTAACTCTTTGTCAGCCACAAATTTTGAATTTATTTCTTCACAGTATGTGATGTCTGCCTTCAAAACATGCTCCTAGATTGGAGCGAACCGCAGAACAGACTGTTTTACATTTACATTTGGTAGACCGGGTGCCTCACCCAACAGATAAGATATATATATATATACCTATAATAAAGGTAAAAAATGATATATGCAGTGTTATCTTCATTTTAGATATCAAAAGGGTTTTGCGGCTCCCAGTGTTTTGTTTTTGGTGGGAAACGGGTCCAAGTGGCTCTTTGAGTGTTTTGGGTTGCCTACCCCTGACCTATGCCCTCAGGGTCCCCCTGAATCAGAGAGCAAATGGGTGTGAAATCTTGGAGCCGCTGAAAGGACTGCATTGTAGACAGGAGAGAGGTGGTGTCCTGTGCCTCCCCCTCTGTTGGGAGGGGGCTGCTCAATTTACCCTCTGATCCAGGTGGCCCCGAGGGTACAAATAAACCCCCAAGTGGCCTCACGGACTCTCAGAGAGAATACTAACGACCAGATGACCTCAAGGGGAATATAAATACTATTCCCTCCCACCATCGTCAGAACATGAAGAAGCTTCTGGCATGAGAAGCAAAACTTCCTCAAGGAAAAACAAAAGTCCAGTTGACTCTTGAAAAAGCACCTTTGGGACAACCAGGACCTGGAGGACCGAGAATCTTCATAGACTCTTCTGACCTTCCTTTTAGATACACCCCTAAGATAGGTTATTGAGATAATTCTCTGAGAAAAAAGGGCATCACCCAAGTCAGAGAAATAGAATTGGCCCTATCAGGTGTAATCTCGGTCCTAAAATTGACCTCAGGTTCTTCGAAGTATCCCTAAGACCCCTTGTAAGGGATGTAAAGAGCCATCATAAAAACGGGGAAAGGGCTGACACCATGGACACTGCCTAAACGCCAGGCCTCCAACTGAAAGCCACTATTCGCCAACATTTTCCATGGTCACAGTTCAGAGTGACACCTGGTTTCATTTCGGAGCGTCAGCGCTAATAAAATTTTCACTGGTAGGAAATTGGATTTTTTTTAAAAAAAAATGACTAGAAATTATATATTTGTCTGGGCTGTGAAAACGCAGGATCAACTGCTTATAATTTGGAAAAGTTGCATAGATGTTATTATCATTGATACAATATGTATGTAATAGACAAAGTGCAGGTAGTCCTCGACTTAACGACCACAATTGGGCCCAAAATTTCCATTGCTAAGCAAGACAGTTGTTGTCAGGGGGCCTGACAGTTGTGAAGTGTGTGCGTTGCCCCATTTTACAACCTTTCTTGCCGCAGTTGTTAAGTGAATCGCTGCAGTTGTTAAGCTAGTAACCCGGTTGATTAAGTGAATCTGATTTCCCCATTGACATTGCTTGTCAGAAGGTCACAAAAGGGGATCACGTGATCCCGGGACACGGCAACTGTCGTAAGTACATGCCAGTTGCCAAGCGTCTGAATTTTGATCGTGTGACCCTGGGGATGCTGCAGCGGTTGTAAGTATGAGAAAGTCACAAGCCCCTTTTTTTCAGTGCCGTCGTAACTTTAAACAGTCACTAAACGAATTGTAAGTCGAGGACTACCTGTAGTTAATCCTATTGCGTTGCCATTGCTCTCAAAACTTTCCGACAGGCAGGAACCAAGCAACAGTTGTGTTGGGTTGCCTGGCCCGAAAGTCATCTCCTTTGATAAAACATACTATTTGACCTTTGTGTGACAAAATGGATTTCATTTCAAGGCCCTTTCATATTGGCTTGTTCTAAACTGCATTGATTTGGAATATTGATTGGAATGTAAATAACAAAAGAGAGACGACAATCTACCTTGGATTCCTCCCCTTTTCTGTCATTCCAGAAAAAGGGTCAAGAAATCTAAATAGCCACAAGATTTCCCAGTGAACATCATGGCTGATTGAATATTCCGAAGCGTTCTGGTAGCCCCTTTTTCCGATTAACACGTTTTATTAAAAGACATGTTAGTTTCAAAAGAGGCTAGCAAGATTGCTACTGTACACTAACATAGCAGGTGTCCCACTAAATCTGCAACACACTGCACCATGGATGACTAACAATTATTACTTTAGATTTTCCTACACACAATTGGGTCCCCTAACTTGGCCTTGGTATGCTACAGAACTCCAGGTTCCATCATCCCCAGTGAGCACCAGATTAGGGATTAGCCATTGTGTTACCCTGCTTCTCATAACTGAACACAACACTGATAATAAGGTTACACTGTTTATTTGGGATTATTCCTAGTCTTGTGTTCTTTTCGGAAATGTTTAAGCTTTAACCAGCTTACCTGCGGGAATTCGCCCTAAAAGTACAAATCTCCAGGCAATTTGTATTCTTTACAATCAAGTTAAACCTTTTGCAGAGCTTTCAGAGCTGATTCTTCTTTGTGTGTTCTCTTCTAATCCAACAGGCTGGGACCATATTCAGACCATAGATTCCTTACTGAGGAAAGGGGGTTATAAGGCTCCAATCACAAACGATTTCAGGAAAACAATAAAACTGACCAGGTAAGAAGTCCTATCCTATGTTTTGCTGGGGTTCTGCGCAGGATCTTAGCTGTTCCTAGCCCTGCACGCTTCTGGATGGAGAGCTGTGATGCCATTCCTGGGATCTGTTGAAGCCCCTCTCCCAGCTTAGGAGACATGGCCCCAAATGTTCCTACCATCGCCGGGATCACTTTGGCCTTGACTATCCACATCCGCTCCAGTTCTGTCTTCTCCGTGGCGGCTCCTTCCCTGTGGAACATTATCCCTGCCAAAATAAGATCGGCCCAGCTTTGACACTTAAGGCCCTGAAAACCTGGTTTGGCCAGCAGGTCTGGGGACCTCAAAGTGATACCAAGCCCATCAAGTGGTTTGTTTGATTGTTGTTGATGGGGTGGGGGTTGTTACTGGGTTTGTATTGGGGTTTTACTTCTGTAAATCGTTCAGAGTCACCATGAGTGACTTGGGCAACCACATAAAGTTTCTTAATAAGTAAATCGTAAGACAGTGAAAGTTGAAGCCTGGGCAGAGATGAGTTTGGGAAGTTATATCTTAAAACCACGTAGGTCCTCCTAGCCTTAATTCTGTTGAACTTTTCTTGTTCTTCTGGTTCTCTTTTAATGCTTAAACCAGGCGTGCCTAATCCACAAGCTTTATGCAGGCCTGGACAGCTAGTAATGCGGCCCTACAAGATATCATAAAAACCATTTGTTATTTATATACATTCACTATATTAAATATTTTCTATGCGACCCAAAGCAATTCCTCTTCACTCAGTGGGTCCTAGGCCAACCAA